GGCCAAAATGTATGTGTGGTTTAGTATGAAGTTGGTCGCTAAGGTTAGTCGCTACCTGAAGACCGCCACTGCGTTGGTGATGTCCTCGTCACTATTCTGCACGCGCTCGAATGCTTAATGGGAGAGAAAACCAGATGGTTCCTATTCTTTATATAAATGGGCACTAGGTCGGCCAGTACGAAGTATGGCAGTATGTGAACCTTTTTCTATTTTGAAACCATGCCTAAGATAAGTGTCGAAATTATGGTATGAGGTTTTAGCCGGTTTGCTGCTTTCAAACTGGTCGATGCAGGTCGATGGTTTCGTTCCAATTCCAGTACTGCCCTGATATGAATCGGTCCCGTGGTAGCTGAATTTCGGTACATTTCATCTGAATTTCGCACGGAGGGATTACAGTCGTCCGACTGGAGAACTTTCACAAAGAGGAGCCGGGTGGAAAATTTTCATGCTCTGAAAAGCGCCTGAGAAATTGACGTCAATGGTCCTTTTTCAAGTGTTAGAAATATGAACGCACTATCCTACTTCTATAATCAATGACGAGCTTTTCTCTAAAGTTTTAATTCACCCCGTCGCGTTTGAGTCGACTATGCTTACCTCTCGAGAGGGAACAACGTCATCATGTACAACTTGATCGATCCTAAGCTGGAACACTTCCTCCAGTTGAGACAGCCAATTTAAATTAATGAGTTCATGTGCAATTTTTTTCACACTAGGACTAAGCGAAATCGGGATTGATCCTCTCACACGGCCAGCAAGGTAACTCGCGAACGGGTTTTGTTGATAATGTCGCCCTCCACCTTCGTCGCTGAATGTAGGGCTTTCAGGAACCACCTGTGAGGCCCTACATCCAGTGACTTTGCGACACTCTGAGACACGCGTGGAAGTTTAACGTACCAAAATTGGCATTTCGAAAAGGCAAAGCCAGAGAATTGCTATGAAATCTACAGCACAATTCATCTGGGCTCCCCAAACGCCAGAGGGAAATCTTAGCTTGACCATACTTTCGCACTATGACAAAAGATCAAGCCTCGCTACCACGTCGACGGTTAATTCCACAAGGTAATCGTATTAACAACAGGAAAGCCGTCCATGTGTACTCATATACTATTCAGGGAAAGCGGTATCGCATAGAGCTGCAAGAAAGGATTCTTTTACGAACGCTATCAGCAAGAGTAATCCACGCAATTCCCATCTGAGTAGTGTTATCGAGGAACTCGCGTGCATAGGCCTGTGACTGAGCTTTTGAGGTCTCCGATAGAGGCTAGGAGATGGAAAATGGCATCGTATAGGTGTAAACTCGACATATGACAATTTGGACTTGCACAAACGAATCGATGCGCTCGAGGAGGAGGTCGCTGCTTTGCAACGACAAGTGGCTGAAAAGGACCGGGCACTACGAGCGATGAGTAGGTAAGACACTGGCAGACTGGCATCAAATTCATTATGAACTCGAATGAGTTGAGACTCTCTACTACCATACGGTTAATTCGTACTTCGAGGTGAAGACTCAAAACCCATAAAACTTAACAACGAACAACAAGTTCGCTGCTGAACTCGTCGCATGTGATCCTCTCACTGAAGTGGGTACAAGCACAGTCTCAAATATGGAGTTGCTGCTGCAGAGTCTACCCATCATTCTTTGGGCGATCGACAGGCATGTATTACGTCGTTTTAACTTGCTCATCTATACCGGCTAAGGGCGTCGTAAAGGGTCTTACACTATCCCTAGGCACCACGCAGAAGAGCTGCGCGAGCAGGGAGACCGGCTTCGGGCCGAGTTGGATCGTCCAGAGAGAGATGCCCAGCGAAATGCGTCAGAATGCGTATGTAGGCTTGTTCATTGCCAGAACATATACTAACCATTTTAGGTCAAAACGAGCTTAGTAAATTCCCGCCAGATGGGAGGGTTAGAACTGCAACGGAAGACTGATGAGCTGGAGTGAGTGAAAGCGACAGTGTCATCATTAGCTGTTATTGACAGGGACATATCTCGAGTGCCCCAGGATTCCCGACGGGTGGGTTCGTGAATGCTTGTCCGTTCGAACTGGCTATGGTTCAGCATAAGAAGGTTGTACTCGAGCCGAAGGAGATTGAGCAGTACAGGGCGGACTCTCTCGGGCGCGTGAAGATCAGGGAGTAGCATGCTGCGTTTGATAGCGCGGAGTAGCTGTACGCTCATATGTGGTTTATTAGGTTGAATATCAAATTGGTTGTTTTCCTAAGAGAGGGAGGAGGTCCTTTTCTTTGATCAGATTCGCGCAAGATATGGAGGGACTACGCAACAAACTGAAGGAGTCGGAAAATGACAAGTATAAGGCTCGAGCCGAGTTGAGGGAAGCGAAAGAAATGAAATTGGCTGCTATGAATAAAGCCAGGAAAATGAAGTCCGAAATGGCTAAGGTGGGATTACAGCTGGACCTGAGCTGAGGGGCGGAAGCGCTACTAGGTCCATGAGAAGAATGAGGAGCTCTTCAAATGTTGTAAAGCACTCTACCAGCAGTTGGGCGAGCTGAACACGCCCTTCGCACTGGAAGCCGATACTGAGAGATCCACTATGCGGAGGGTCGCTCTGTCGCCTAACACTGAGAGGACGTATACTATCACAGATGCTTGCCGTCCTGAGCCCACTGCGAGGAGTGTTGCGAGGTGAGCCATCGGGCGCGCGCGTGGAATAGGAGGTCTACATGCAGGGCTGGGAGGGGCTCTGAAGCTTCTACTAGTTGCCCGCCGACCTCAAGGGAAATGCTATTGGAATCTCAGCTGAAACGAGTGACGCAGAAGCTAGAGGAGATGAAGAGGACAGCACTTATTGTGTTGCGATCGAGGTAAGGCCGATCCACTTCGGTCTGAGATTGCCTCGGTGCAGGTCCTTAATTGAAGAATATTTGCATGAGGTGATTGCGAACTGTCGAGCTCAAAAGGCAGCACCGGCAGGCTCGGCTTCCACGGCTGCACGCATGCTCAAGGCAGGATACGACTGTTGGAGAGAAATCGGCTTGTCAATGGGGCGCCTTGTTTTCAGGGGGGTAAGAGGACTAGTAGAGGCCGACGTCACGAAGTACAACGAAGTATTGTTCCCAGTCCAGGTAAGGTGTTGTGCATGCGTGCTACTACCTGTTGAAGGCAGTATAGTTATGTTAGGATCGCATGAAGAAGAGGCTACTGAGCATGGCACAGAGACCTTCCTCACAGGAGGTGTGGAGCAAGGGTATAGTGATGACGAAAAGAACGAGGATGAAAGGCTCAATGAGGTGGGCGTAATACCACTCCTCCGTCACATCCCACTACCACAGGACTCATGGTCTCAGCGTCCACGAGAGGTGCCAGCCTTGTCGCTAGAGGGAATCAACAGATCAGCATTATACGATGTGGATGAGCTGGCGAAGGCGCTTGATAAGGCTAGACTGGGAGAGGGGGTTGTTGATATTGATATCGGTCAACTTACTTGGGATGCCAAAGAACATATCCTACGGATGGTGAGTATCTTCGTGCACGCACGGTGAAGATTTTTCCACAGTACTCCTCATTCCCTCTTGAAAAGGGAGTCCCTATTCATCCCTCGCTTTTTTCATGCTTCCATTCTCTTCAGCTATTCCAACGGATCAACAACGACCCCATGGCTTCTATAAATAAGCAGGGTCGCGCGAGGCTGCGAGCTCAGTTGGTGTCAGTGGGCATACCTCCTACTTGATCATGGATATCACGAGAATTGTCTCCCTCGGAACAAGCATTTTGCGTTTGTAGTCTCTGAGTAGTAGTAGTGAGGCGGACTTGTCAAGAAAAAGGATAAGGAGGGATTATGGGATGTCAAAGAAGCACCGATATGCACAGAGTGAGTACCAAGTCAAAACCGGTACGGCATTTTTCCATGTAGCCAATTTTGCGTTTGACGATACATCAGTGCACGATAAGGATATCAGGACTGTTCTTGCAGCGTTGGAGAGAGCTCGACGAGGGTTT